TCTAAAAAAAAAAAAAAAAAAAAAGCCCATTCTCATTTTGGCTTTACAAAACTACTAGAGAATTTCTCTGTATCACCAGTTCCCAGATGTAGGGATTTCATAGAATGATCAAGTTTCCAGAAAACACAGCAAAACAAAAATGGGAACTTGGTAAGGTTTTAAACTTTCTGTTGCTAAAACTACCACCCAATACTAACATCATTTTATAAGAGAAAGGTTATTTTATTACAGAAAGAGAGGGAGGAAGCGGGGAGAAGAAGAGAAAGAAGGAGGAGAGAGAAGAGGAGGAAGAAAAGAAGACATCTTCATGGACTAAGCCCTACAGTGCTAGCTTTCCATCACTGTGATAATGCATCTTAGATAATCAATTTATAGGAAGGAAAAGTCTATTTTGGCTCATGGGTTCAGAGATTTCATAGTTGCCTAGCACTGTTGCTTTGGCCCTGTGGTGACACAGAACACCAAGGTAGGAGAACATGGCAAAAGAGACCTGTTCACCTCATGGCAGCCAGGAAGAGAGCTTTAAGGGTCCCAACATCCTCTTCAAGGCCATACCCCAGTGACCTCACTTCCTCCCACTAAGCCTTGCCTCCTGACTGTTCTACCACCTCAACAACACCACAGGCTGTGGACCAATATTTTGCTAGCAACTGGTGAACATCTTAGTGGAGACCACCAGCTGGGAAACAACATAGCCACCTCTAGGCTATACTGCAAATGTGGAAGCTTAGGTAGTATGCACCCTCCAAAATAATTCCCAGGAGTGCTCAGGAAGCCTCTGAACCCCATGCAAGGAGAAAAAAGAGTAAGGTTTGTATAATTCACTTAGAGTTTAGCTTTAGGGGAGAGGCAGTTGGAACATGAGTATTCAGTGCAGACTTTTCATTTTAGCTTTCATAGATTTAAGTCGGTTGAAGGCTGAATTCATTCATTATTGACATCAATTAACAACAGTATAATTTTATGTGAAATAAATGCATGTTTCTTAAACCAACCAAACTCATGCACTATTAACAGTGGCACATTACTACTCGTTCATATAATTTTAATTGTTCATAAAACTAAGAACTGTATACCTTCAGGATAAATGTTATTTAAACCAACAGCTTGCCTGCCAATAAGCAAATTTTATTGCCATTTTCAGAAAGGGCAACTGAGCAGCAAAGAAGATATAAGATGAACCAGAAGATTGTGAAATTCTGAATGTGACATCTAAACATGTTTTATTTGGATTACTATTGCTTTTAATTTACTGACAGGAGAGAATCAACATACACCCCCAAACATATACCCACACACTGAAAAGCTGATAAGAAGTTGAAGTGAAAATCAAATACACTAGATTTTCACTAATGACACTCAAGGCCTTACAGAGCACACTGATACACAGCTGTAATTGCTTGACAGACTATTAAAGCACTAATAAAAGACCATAAACATCAATTTTTAAGATGGGTTATTGACATTTTTATTACCGAGAGGTACAGCCTTAATTTGCCAGATCAAATTGCTTGGCATGTCTTGTAACTATTGCATATACATTCAATTCATAAAATTAAGACATTCTCATTCCATTCTTTTTACTCCTGCCAAACAAAACACCCAGAGCAGTCTGACAGAATTCTAAATCTTATAGCAATGCTAACAGAAGGTTGAATAATGTATAGGATCTTTAAAATCAAACTTAGCAATAGAAATAGATGCTAGTCCAATATCAACTTGGTGTTTTCAAAAGTAAATCTAACTTATTGAAAAGTGTTTTTTGGCTTAGAAGTATTTCTTGGATGAAAGAATGTTGAAGAAAGTATATACTGTACTAAAAATTGAGATGTGACATCAGAATTGTATATATTTGTACTTGGGTAGAATGTTACATAAATTAAAATATTCATGATCATATGTAGAGTAGAAGTTATCGAAAGGGCACTATAAAAGTAACAATTATTTTACGAAAAGTTTCAAAAATGCAAAAGCAGAAGAAAATGTAATGGAACTTCCAGATTCTTGTCATGTAGATTAGTTATCAAGATCCTGCCACACCTGCTCCATTTGTCCTTTTTCTTTGTTAAATAATTTTAAAGTAATTTATAACGTCATTTTGCCTTTATTAGCATGTGTCTCTAAGAAATAAAGAAACTAACATCATATCAATCAGAATTAAGGGTAAATCTTTAGAGGTATCATCTATACACAGTCCATAAATCAAACTTAACAGGATTGAGTTACAAATATCTTTTTATATTTAACTTGTTTTAATCAGGATTCTAGCAAGACCCATTCACTATAAATGGTGAGTAATCTCTACAGATTCTTTTAAAAAATAAACATCTTAACATTAGTATAATATTTGTCACCATAAAACAATGACAATCCATTGTTATGAGAAAAGTCTGTGTTTCAGGTTCCCTTAGCTTTGACTCAGTATCCTTTCTCTGTTTCGGGTGCCAACTAAGATCCCATATTATGACTCCTTGGGCTCTTCTTAACTGTAACAGTTTCTCAGACTTTCCTTTGTTTTGATGACTTTGCCACTTTGAAATTTTCTGGTCATTTATTTTGTAAACCATCTCTCACTTGAGATTTTTCTGATGTTTTAGTGTCATTAGGCTGAGGTTATTGATTTGGGGGAGGAAGGCCACGAAGGCAAAATGCCATTCTCAGCAAATCACATCAAGGACACATACTACTAATGTGACTTATCATTGCTGATATTGACCTTGATCCCTATCTGAGAAATTATTGTCAGTTTTCTCCTTTGTTATTCTTTGTTTTTTCTCCTCCATGCTATCCTTTCTGGAAGTCATTTATGATGCATTTAAGGAATGTGGAAAACTGCATTAGTATGCACTGTGGAAATGCATTATACATTGCTCCTCAGATTGTTCTAGCTTTGGTTCTTGGAGCTCTTTTGTTGACATTTATATCCTTTGTCATATCCCCATATCTCTTTTTAAAAAGTATTTCCTTATTTTCTGAAACTGCAAGATATTCTAAATTCAAAATCCACGCCCTAGTTGTAAAACCATTCATTTTTCCAGGAAGCTCTGGTCCCTATTCCTGGAGAATGTATAAGAAACCAAAATCTGAACTCCAGGTTCACTCATTGCTACCAAGACATCATTGGCTCTGGGCAATGAACTGTATGTGCATAGAATTACTATGAACTTGGTGGTTTAACAATGGGCATTTATCATCTCATAGTGCTAGAGGTCAAGTCCAAAATTAGAGATAAATGTGATGGGAGAGAAACATGGAAGGAAAAGGAAACAGGAGAGTGTAAGAGAGATGAAGGACATGGTGAGAAGTTCTAGCAGAGCATGGAGTCGCAGGAAGGGAGGAAAGAGAAAATAGAATAGAAGCAATAATGGAACAAATAAGTCAACAAGGACATTACCATTCTGATGGAAGACATCAATCCTCAAATTCAGAAAGCTCAGCAGCTCAGCAGTCTCAAGTAGAGTAAATGCAAATAAAATGACATCTGAGCACACTAGTCACCAAGCTGAAAAGCAAAGGTGAAGAAAAAAAATCATAAAAGCAATCAGAAAAAAGATACCGATTATAGAATGATGTGGAGTAACATTTTTTAAGTGCTAAGAAACAACCCTGCTGATTTGGAATTCTAACTCTAGCTAAGGTGATGTGACAGAGACCAGCTTATGCTCCTGCCTGAAGTGAATAATCTAGACAAAAGATGTGAAACAATGATTTTCTGGCCTTGCATATTAGGCAACACACAGTGTGAATACCTGAGAGAGGGAACTCAAACAAGTGGAGCTCTACAGTTCCTAGCTTCGTGCCTGAAAGGAGTTTCTAATCAGCAGTACAGATTAGTGTGAAATGAACCATGCACATCTGGATGTGACTGTGATATACCAAAAAGCTTTAAAAGAAGTTGGAGTAAGAAGAATGTGCATGCACTTGTGCCGGAGCTGCTCTGTTCTCATCTTTTTCAGAATGGAACATGTATCCCAAGCTGCCAAATGTCACCAATATTATTATCAGAGGAAACATATAGGATACTCAATTTAAGTCATAAGGGGGAACATTTACTAATGATGGAAATTCTTTAGCATTGCACTTGTCTCCTTAGGAAAATGTTTACAACTCTGAACATTTTAGGGTTATCTTTTGTGATGGCTTTTATCTGTTTATTTGTAATACAGGAGATGAAACCCAGGGTCTTGCACATGGTACACATGTACTCCCAGCCATGATGATGTGTTAAGAGGGTTCCTGTCCAAAGGCAGACAAATTAGATTGTATAAGCTCTCGAAGTTTTTTCTAAGTCTTAAGCTACTCTCATATGCTACCTTCATGATCTCATGTGTATTCTCAATTGTTTCCTTTTTTCAAGGTGGATGATATCAACAAGGCTGTGATGGATCTGAAAAGCAAGAAGATCCGTAGTCTAAGTGAAGGAGCCAAAATAGGAGCACATGGAAAGCCCGTAATCTTTCTTCATCCTAAAGACTGTGGTGGAGTCCTCGTAGAACTGGAGCAAGCTTGATTTACATTTGCAAGAAACTAAATTAATTGACCGGGGAAACCCTTATCAAACACTATTACAATGTATTGTGGTATGGCTTCCATCACTTAAAAATTCAAACTTAAATTGCAGAAATATTAAAATATCTCAAAGTATTTGCCCCTTGAGAACAGCTCATGGTCACAGGCTCCTTAGAAGGGAGATGTTTAGGGTACTAGAGTTAGATGAATAGGAAATTTTGTGGAAAATTTGGTGCAGGATCTGGGGGTGGATAAATACCTGAATTATTTTTTAATTGGTGTAATTTGTAAAGTTATTGTCACTAGGTGTGAGAGCACCTCAGGAAGTCCTGGGGGAATACAAAACCAATAGTGTCTCACTGCCAATAAGCCTGTGGTACAGTTGGGGAAAAATGAAATAAATGTAAATACTTGCAGAACATCGTATGAGAGTATTAAAAAGAAAGAAATATGACACTTAGAGCTTAAACATGAGCTTAGAGAGTTAACAGATTTTTTCCTCGGACTCACATATTTTAGCAACAAATAGATGCATGGAAAGCATAAGGTATGGGAGAGTGGTTAGCTTGAGCCTGTGGGTGATTGGGTGTTGAATGAATGAGTGTATAGACACTGGGCTTGTTATTTTGTTTTTATTTATTTTTCTTTTATTGACTTTATTTGTATGGGAGAGTGGTTAGCTTGAGCCTGTGGGTGATTGGGTGTTGAATGAATGAGTGTATAGACGCCGGGCTTGTTATTTTGTTTTTATTTATTTTTTGTTTATTGACTTTATTGGTACATTTTAGGTATACAGTACAGTTACACTCATTATTGAGATCTTGTACCTTTACATGACAGGTGGTCTTGGTTCTCATTTCTTCCCCTTGTCCCTGCCCTCCCTTCATCCCCTCCTCCCCTCCCCATTTACAAACACTTTATTTCCATTTTTTCATTTTCTCCTATTTTTCCCCTTATTACCTTTCCCCTACACGTGAGTGGGATGGGCTTGTTATTTTGCAAGACAAGTGTAATACCCAGTTATACTTGTCCTTTAAAATCAAGAATTTAAAAAGGGGGGTGGCTGGGGATTTAGCTCAGCGGTTCGGTGGCCTGCCATGCAAGCGTAAGGACCCGAGTTCAATCCCCAGTACCAAAAATAAATAAATAAATAAATAAATAAAACAAACCAAGAATTATAGCACTTTCTGATACTCAATGTAATTGGGATAATATTTAAAACAACTGTATCAAAAAAGGGAGGGCAGCAAAAGGGACTTAAATGATGGTTAAATGTGCACATTGCACTTAACGTGGTAAGTGTTGATCCTAATGAACTTCATTGCATATGTGTATGGTAATCCTTGGAATAACCACTGAAGAAATTGTGCAAAGAGATAAGCTCAAAAATATAGGTAAGTAAAAATGAAATATTAAAGAATGCCCCTATAGCCTAAAGACAAAAAGCAACCCCAAAATACAATAAAGTGACAGACATATTTTAACACTAATAATTTCCATCAGTGTAAGTTCTAAACATACCAATTAAATGACAGGTTGGAGATGGATTTTTAAAATGACCCAACCAAATTCTACCTATGAGAACCTTGCTTTAAATATAATGGCTTTAGTGAGTTATTAGTAAAAAGATGGAAAAATAGATGTCTTGCAAACAGCCAGAAAAAGCTAGGTTATTAGTATCAGGCTAAATAGACTTCAAAGCAGAATTGTCAAGGCTAAACAGATACATTGTGTAATGATAGAAAGGTCCAATCACAAGAAGGAGTAAACTGAGCCAAAGAACACAGCTATGAGATACAGGAACAAAGAATTGCTAGAACTAAAAGAGAAAGACAAATTCAGAGTTATAGTTAGTGACTTCAAAACATTTCTCTAGTGATGGATAAAACCACTAAACAGCAATTAAATAGAAGTGAACTGTCCCATGAGCTGATAGAGCATGTTTTCTTTTTGAGCATGTAAGACTGAGCAAAGTAGACCATACTGAGAAAGGAGTTATCTAAGGAACAGCTGGAGAAAGGAAAGAGGGCCCACTTTTGAGCCTACTTTTTGGGCTAGATCCATATTCTGAGTTAAGCATTAGGCTGGGACCAGGATCTTCATGTTATTTTCACAAGGAAGTAACCAGGTAACTTAGGTTACACACAATATACACAAGTCTCTGGGCGTGTGCTCAGTGGTCTGCCAGCCTCGGCCAACCCCAGCCCTAACGACCATGTTATTGACTCTGCTGATAGGCCATACACACTCCCAGAGACTATTCCATGACAGATCGTTTAGTGAAGGGGCCACAAAAAGTCAAGATAGGCTGAGCTGTGTCGCTCACTGGCAGGAGTCAAATTGACCAACACCTCAATCCTACCCCAGACACTAATGTCTAAGACCCTCAGCCCCGGACTCGCTCAGGGTACCCCTTTTCTTGCTGGCTGCCCCTACCATGCCACATAGAGTGTACTTCAGTTCTCAAATCTTTGATCTTTTCTCTTTTTGGATCTTCTGCTAGTTGTTCAGTGCATCAAGAACCTGGACAAGAACCCCCAATCCAATAACAATATCTAAGGTAATAAACAGCATATGTAAGTAAAAATGTAAAATATGCTATGCAATAATTGTAACCAAATCAAACTAGAAATTAATACAGATACTAGGAATATCTCCAAAAACTTGCAGGTACCAAAGAGGAAGTCTCAAGGAATAAATATGCACTGAGCTGACTAAAAATAGAAATATAACCATTTTTTATAAAATTCACTAGTTTATGAGTTTAATTTATGAAATAACATTCTGCTTTCATGAGAATAGAATTTAACAGCAAAATACACCAAACAGAATGTGTAGTAGATGGTGTCAACCTAGAACCACCCACCTGACTTTGCTGTGTCCACCCTAGGCCCCTCCCCTCCCAGGTAAAGCCCCAAGGCTGGATTTAAATTCCATCACCCTTGCCAGTGATTTTTTAAAGTAGTGTGAGCCACACCTAAACAAGTAGCTGGAAGAAAGTTTTGCAAGAAGCTTCTGTAAGTGGTCTTTCCTACTCCCAGGTGAGAAAGTCGGAGAACTCAGCTTCTCTCCTACCAGAAATGAACAAGGAAACAGCTGTGGTTGCTATTAGCAACAATCCAGTGACCAAGAAAGAAAATAGAATAATAATACTGGTCAACAAAGAAAAACCTTTTACTAGTGTCATTTTATTTATTTTTAAAAATTAATTTATTTTTTGCCACCAGAGATTGAACTTGGGCTCTTACAAGGCAGGCAGCAGAACCACTGAGCCAAATCTCTGGACCCGACATTTTATTTTTTAAAAATGCATGTAGCCAAGCATGGCAGCACATGCCTATAATTCTGGCATTCAAGGAGGCTGAGGCAAGAGGATCACAATTAGAGCCTCACCTGGGCAACTTAATGACTTATTGAGAACCTGTCTCAAAAATAACATTAAGAGTGGAAGATGTAGCTCAGGGCAAAGAGACTGGGTTTAATCCCCATGCTGAAAGCAAAAATACATTTATTACTGAACAGAGAGTTGTTTTAATCACAGGATTTAAAAAATTAAACTATTTTTACTAAAGCATCTCTAAAAATAAAATAGAAATTATCTAGGGCATTTACATAGTATTTAAAGGCTTGATCTGGATTATTTGAACATGAAAAACAAAACAAGCAAAATAATTACACTTTAATCAGACTGCCTTGTTACAGTGTATAATATATATTATAAATTATTTATCTAATTGACTTTTCTGTAGACCTTTTGTTTTTCTTTGAATAGACTTTCTTTTCCATAGCAGCATTAGGTGTATGGCAAAATTAAGCAAATGAACAATCCCCATCCACCCCTTTTTCCAACATGCACAGCCAGCAGTGCCCTTCCCACAACAGAGCAGCACACTTGTTAATGACCTACATCAATACATCACCACAGAATAGTCTACGTTAGGTTTCGCTCTCAACAGTGTGTATCCTAGAGGCTTGGACAAGTGTGTAGTGACATGTATATACTTAACGTCATTGCATCTCCTGAAATAGTTTCTCTGGATAAAGATTCTCTATTCTCCACCTATCCATCCTCTCTCCCTCCACCCACCACACACACATGCTATAGATCACTGATCTTTTTTGTGTCTTCGTAGTTTTACCTTTTCCAAAATGTCAGAGCTCGAATCATACAACGTGCAGCCTTTTTGCAATGAGTAATCTGCAGCCAAGTTTCCTCCATAACCTTTTACGGCTTGGTAGCTCTTTCTTTTTAATCACTGAACAATATTACATTTAGATGTATTATAATTTATCCCTTAACCTCCCAAAGGCCTTCTTCAAGTTTTGGCAATTATGAATAAAGCCGCTAAGAGCGCAGCTAATTTTGTTTATGTTTTTGCAGTATTGGGGATTGAACCAAGGCCTTACAATACCAGGCAAGTGTTCTACCACTGAGCTACACCCTAGCCTTTTGCCTTGTGTACCTTGATGCTCTGTTGTTAGCTTCATCGCACCAGGAATTGTGTATTTTTGGACAGGGGACCTTGATAATAAAGGCCCTGTGTATTCTTGATAATTTTCATTGCTTTGTAGTTAACTCTGCCTGAAGAGAATAAAGCTACCCCAGCTTTCTTTTGATTCATGTTAGCATGGTATACCTTCTCCATTGTTTTACTTCTAAACTATAGAAGCCTTTACATTTAAAGGGAATTTCTTACAGGTAACATATAGTTGGGTTTTTTAATCCTTTCTTACATTTTTAAAGTGTCTTTTAATTGGTGTATTTAGACTATTAACAATGCAAATGATTACTGGTATGGTTAGACAATATATTATCAACATGGTATTCATGCTATTTGTTGCTCTTTTCATTTCTATGTTTGTCTCCCACGATTTCGATGTCATTTGTTATTTTTATTGAACTTTTCATTTTATTCTGTTTTCTTAGCATATCAGTTAGACTTTTCTAGAGTTTGTAATATACATTTACAACTTATCCAACTCCACTTTCTTCCCCTTTCTCACATCTTTATTGGGATATAATTAACAAGTTTATGTTCAAGGTGTATAGCACATTTTGACATATGTATACATTGTGAAATTATTGCCACAATCAGGCTAATTAGTCTCACCTGTTCAATATATATGTGTGTGTGTGTGTGTGTGTGTGTGTGTGTGTGTCTTCTGAGAATACTGAAGACCTGCTTTCAGCAAATGTTACAGAATATCTTGTTAATTGCAGTGGCCTTGCTTTAAGTTCTAAAACTTATGCATCTGCATGTTTGTGCCCTTTGATCAATACCTTCCTACCTCCCAAGTTTCTGGCAAACTACTCTTTTCTGTTTCTGTGAATCAAGTTCACTTTAAAATAACAGTCACTTCACAGGTAGTGCAAGAATCCTAGCATAACAAAATATCCCTGTTGTACTCAGTAGGA